CATGGGAGTCCAGAGATATAGCCATTACGCTAACTGCTGGTTCCCAAAATTAAACAAATCTAAAAAATAAAAACAAACAGTAGGCTCAAGAAATTGGAAGATTTTGAGGACCACGTGGTGGCACAGTGGTAAGATGCTACATTCCACAAGACGGACCACATGTGGAGGTTCCAGGTTTGCATCTCGAGACTCCCCAACTGTGCCAGGTTTACATGCACCCACGATCTGGGCCCATGTAAGCTGGCAGTGGACTGCAGTGTCAAGACCCTGTGGAGATGCTATCTTTCTGTCTGCTCCCTCTCTTTCACTTGCTTATGGAAGAAATACATAATTTTCTTTAAGATTTTTGCCACAGGGTGTGTGTGTGCTTGCCAGAGAGACAGACAAGATAGACAGATAGGGAAAGTGAGAAATCACTCCCAGGGGAATGGCCACACTACAATCCTTTCTCCTCCATTCTCCTCTCAGGATACATCATTTTTTTAAAAAATAAATTTACAGGGGGACCAGCAGGTGGTGTGGTGGTTAAGGCGCTGGACATTCCCATATGGCCAACCATGGTTCAAGTCCTGGACCTGGTGGCTTGCTTTCTCACTCTCTTTCTCTGTGTGTGTGTGACTCTCTGGTCAAAATGAAATGAGTAAATAAAATTTAAAATATTTTAAAAAAATAAAAAATAAATAAATAAATTTACAGGGAACCAGCAGTTAGCGTAATGGCTATGTCGCTGGATTCCCACGTAGTCGACCACGGTTCGTGTCCCGGACCCGGTGGCTTAAAACTCACGCCGGCCGCGTGTGCGTGCGTGCCCAAGATCCCGAGAGGAGAATGGAGGAGAAGGGATTGCGGCGTGACCATCCCCCCTGGGGGGTGATTTCTCGCTTTCTGTCTCTATGTCTCTCTCTGTCTGTCTGGCGAGCGCACGCGCCCTACAGTGAAAATCTCTCCAAAAAAAAATTTACAGTAAAAACAAAAATTAGAAAAATTCAATGAGCAAAAATAAAGTTACTGATAAATGGCAGGTACTTCCTAAGGTCTTACTGCATACTTAGGTACTGGATTTGGTGCTGGGGTGCCTGTGGGGAGTGAGATGGGCATGGTCCTTGAGTCTAGCAGTGGGTTCCAGCATAACCAACAGCCTCTCCTGTGCTTTCCCTTCTCAGGGTCGCCCCCTAACCGCAAGCGCCCTGCTAATGAGAAGGCCACTGATGACTATCACTATGAGAAGTTCAAGAAGATGAACAGGCGATACTGAGTCCGAGCCTAGCAGAGCGAGATGTGAAGACACTTCCCTCCCCGCCCCATGAGAGAGCTTCCCAGACTGGCACCTGCTCATTGGCCTGCACTCAGTTCAAGAGCAGACTCAGCCCTGTTGCTTACCTGCTGTTTTTTCATGCACTAAATTTGTAACTTTTTGAAACAAAGCAATGTGTAGTTTTCCTATTTAAGGGCAGACTCTTCTTGTGAGAGTTGTTACATCTTGTTTGTAAATATGTGGGCTTTCTCTTAGTGTTTGTTCCAGGTGGAGAGGAACAGCTGTGTGTTCAGGGTGATGCTACCCTGGGATTGTGCTCTTGTTATATATGTGAGCACATACTTAGAATGAGGGTCAGAACTGCATTCTCATTTAGAGCGAGTCCAGCCGACAGCAGAAAATTCTAGTATAGGAGAACCAGATGTAGTGGTAGTGGCGAGCAAAGGAGGCTGAGGCAGGAGGATCACAAGTTCAAGGCCAGCCTGGACAACGTGGTGAGAACTTCTCTTAAAAAAAAAAAAGATTGGGATGGGATCAACAAAAAAAGGTATTTTCTGACTTTGTCAAAATTACCTGTTTCTTTTCATTAAGAAAAAAATTATATTTCCTATTGCTTTTAGAGTTTATTAAATATGAAGGGAATCCAACCTTATTGTTTATATTGTCTTTCCTTACACCAGCTTCTGGTAATGTTTTCAAAGCCCTGGGGTTGGGTAGCTCAAATATAAATGTGAATTACTGGGATAGATTTCATCATCTATTCAAAAGATGTGGACGTGCTCCGGCCTGTGAGCTGCCAAGTACCTGCCTGCCGTGCTCTCACTTTTCCTAAGGCGTTTTCACAGGTCAGCATAAGGAAAGAGCAGGTCGGATGACTTCTGGACTGATTGAGCGTGGGTTATGGTTACAGAGGTTTGGCTTTGGAGCCAGATTTGAGCCCTGTTCACAGCAATTGTGTCTTTGGACAAGTCCCTTGCCCTGTGAGCCTCAGTTTTCCCTGTAAGATGGAGATTTTTTTTTTTCCCCTCTACTAGGATTCTCACGGTCAGTGAAGATAGGAACCTTTTTTTTTTTTTTTTTTTAATTTGAATCTCCAGGGTTAACCTGCACACAGGCAGCCAGAACTAGAAATGAGTAAATGAATAAATGATCCCTACCTTCAGTCTTGTGAGGACCACAAGTAATATGTAATGGTTGGCCTATAATAGGTGCTCATAACTGTTTTTAAATTTTTAATATAATGTGAAAAAAAATAGGACTTTAAAAATGTTTCCAGAATTGGGACTAGCAGATGGTGTAATGGTTACATTGCTGGACTCCCACATGGCTGGCCACAGTTTGAGTCCCAGATGGTGGCTTCAAACTCATGCCGGTTGTGTGTGCGTGCATGCCTAAAATCCTGAGTAAAATGGAGGAAAAGGGATTGTGGCATGGCTATCCACCTGGGGTGGGGGGTGATGTTTTTTGTTTTCTGTCTCTGTATATCTCTCCGGCAAGGACATGCATCTTGTAGCAAAAATCCTCCTTAAAAAAATATTTCGGGAACCAGCAGTTAGCGTAATGGCTATGTCGCTGGACTCCCACGTAGTCGACCGCGGTTCGTGTCCTGGACCCGGTGGCTTAAAACTCACGCCGGGCGTGTGTGCGTGTGTGCCCAAGATCCCGAGAGGAGAATGGAGGAGAAGGGATTGCGGCGTGACCATCCCCCCTGGGGGGTGATTTCTCGCTTTCTGTCTCTATGTCTCTCTCTGTCTGTGTGGCGAGCGCACGCGCCCTACATTGAAAATCTCTCAAAAAAATGTTTCCAGAATATTTCAACATGCATGGAGCTCCCACAACATGAAAGGGTTAGCAAGATAAATAAATTCAGAGGGCCCAGCACATGCCCTGGCACCAAGGCCTGCAACTATGAGAGGGATGGGCACAGAAGCAGATGACAGTTCCTGCTTTTCATAATTCCCTGTGCAAGAGGAAGTGTTGCCTTTTGTCCAATTTAAAAGTGGTCTCTGCATGGTGGGATCCAGATTCCTCACTATTGATGTGAGAATTGACAGAGAAGCAAGGAGAAGAAGACAAAGTGGTCATGTAATGGAAAAGCTGGAAATGCCAGCATGAACTGAGGGTCAGCTTAGTGTCCCTAAGCACAGAAATGTCTGTAAACATGTGCGTACATACTGGTTAGTGCACATACTTCTTTGTCAACTTTTGGTGAATGAAAGAAATGACATGTCAGTAATGAGAAGCATACCTAGCACCCAGATCTTGGTTTCTAATATCTCCAATAAAGGCATCAGGGTTCCCTGTAGAAATGGCTGATTCATGACCAGCAGGTGGCATGGTACTTAAGGCACTAGACACTCCCACATGCCAACCACGGTTCGAGTCCCAGCCTGGTGGCTTGCTTTCTCACTTTCTCTCTCTCTCTCTCTGTGTATGTGTGTGTGTGTGTGTGTGCGTCTCTGGTCAATTTTTTTAGAAAAAATGAATGAATAAATAAAATTAAATAATTCTTTTTTTTTTTTTAAAAAAATGGTTGATTCTAGGACTGACTGGGGCAGGAAATATACAAGATGCATCTGGAGTGTCCTGTAGTATTAGAAAGTAAGAAAATGCTCAAAACAAACCTAAATAAATAAGCATTGATACACATTGGTGCTGTGACCTGCACGGCTAAATGTGTGTTCTGAGTGGAAGCAGCTGTGGATTAAAAATAAACAAAAAAATAAACACACAAAGACACACAAGTAAAGAAAAGCAGGGATCAGGTGGTCTAGTCTCCTCTGATGGATGCACCTGTGTCCCCAGCCATTCCCAGGTTTATTCTTATAAAGGGCCAAAAGGGGGAAAGGGGAAACAGGATGCAAAGCAGGTTATTTTCAGATGTTAATTGACCGAAGATGTGAAAACTTCTGGCGCTATGTAGTCCTATGCAAGTCTTCTCTTCTCTTTTCTGATTAACACTTAGTTTCCTTTAGCTGATTCCTTTGCAGTTTTGACATAGAGGCAAATAACACATTCGTTTGTTAATGATGTTCTCCTTAGTCTTGTGATGGCAGCCTGAAGAACCACATTCTGCTTTTTTTTTTTTTTAAGAATTCTTTATTTACTGAATTTTCATTTGTTATTATCACTCATTTTTTAATTTGACCAGAGAAAGAGAGAGTCAAAGGGAAAATGAGAAAGCAAGTTGCCAGTTCAGGGACTTGAACCACTGTTAGCCATGTGGGAGACTGTCGGAACTGGCTCGGCAGAACACCTTTTGTGGGAAGGGGGTGCTGTGGATTAGAAAGGAACATAGACACACAAAGGCATACAAGTATAGAAAAGAGAGGATTGGGTAGGCCCGACTTCTCTGATGGGGAAAGTTGCGACCCCAAACTGGCCTCAGGTTTATTCTTTTACAGGGAAGAAAAACTGGGGAAAGGAAATGGAATGCAAAGCCAGTTGTTTTCAGATGTTAATCATCTGAAGATGTACAAATGACTGGCACCACGTTGTTTCTCTGATCTTTATGAGTGAATTCTGATAAACACACATGGCTTCCTTAGACAGATACTGCTCTGCAGTTTCAGGCAGCTAGTGTATTCACATGCAAATTGTTTTCATCGCTATGCAAATAAAACTCATGGAACACATTTCTGCATGTGTCTAAAGGTCACCATGTTTGCTCAGATTGACTACTCTCCACAGGAGTCCAGCACCTCAACCACCATGCCACCTTCTGGCCCCTCTGCGTGTGTTTAAAGGTCAATATTGTATTGTTCAGATCTTGCAGCTCCCTATACATTGGATATATGTCAAAGAAACCCACAGAAACTCCAAATGGCCAAAAGAAACAATAAAAGCAAAAAAAGAAGTATTGGATTATAACCCAAAGTATACGATAACCGAGACAAGGTGACATACGGAATTCCAAATAATTCCTGTAGACACTGTCCTCAAGGAGATGGAGCACAACTCCCACTTTTTAGGGAGTACTATGCATAGGGACTTCCTTCTAGAGTGAGTGTTGGAGGTGGGTAGAAACCACACAATGGAGAAACTTGAGCCATGTGATAAAGGTCAACATTGAGATTCATGTGGAGAGCAGCCAGTCTGAGAAAGCATGTGACCTTTAAACGCATGCAGAAATGCACTTCTGTGAGCTGCTCTAGCAATGGCTATTGAGAAGCATCCACATACAAAAGCCCTATCTGCCTGCTGTTATTGGTTAACTTCCTGTTGTTGATATCTAATACCCAGTACTGCATGCCAGTATGAGGCTAAAGGAAGTATTTATCAGACTGTCCCCACAAAAGATCAGAGAAGTTAAATGGCGCCAGTCATTTTCACATCTTCAGACAATTAACATCCCAAAACAACTGGCTTTTCATTCCATTTCCTTCTCTCCCATTCTCTTTGCATCCCATTTCCTCTTCCCCATTTTCTGCCCTTTAAAAGAAAAAACTGAGGCCGGTTCCTGGTCACAACTTCTCCATGAGAGAAGCTGGGCCCACCCAATCCTCACTTTTCTATACTTGTGTGTCTTTGTGTGTTTGTTATTGTGTCTATTTCTTTTTCTTTTTTTGGAGAGGTTTTTGCTATAGGGCGTGTGCGCTCACCAAAAAGACAGAGAGACAGAAGTGAGAAATCACCCCCTAGGAGGGATGGCCACACTACAATTCCTTCTCCTCCATTCTCCTCTCAGGGTCTTGGGCATGCACGCACACACGCCCAGCATGAGTTTAAGTAGCCGAGTCCAGGACTCAAACCATGGTCAACTACATGGGAGTCCAGCGACACAGCCATTACACCAACTGCTGGTCCCATTATTTTGTCTATTTCTAATTTACAGCCTTCCCCACTTAGAAAATAAGTGTTCAGCCGAACTGGTCCTGGCAGACTCATAAACTGGCCCAGCCACTGTGGCATGGAGGTAACACTCTGCAATGATGGAAGGAAGCAACATGGAAGATGTGGTTCAGTTCCCAAGTCGACTTATAACTGTAGCATGCACACAGAGCATGTGTGTCCAAGATCCTGGCTGGGTGAACAGGATTGAGGTATGTGTAGGTGGTGGTCAGGTCAGTATTAAATCCTGTTAAGGGTGCTTGTCTTTCTCTGTCTCTCTCTCATGGCATAAACAAACTTTTTAAAAAGTCAAAAGAGGGGATCATCACATGGCGTGGTGGTAAGGCACTGGACGCTCCCACATGGCTGACCACGATCTGAGTCCTAGACCTGGTGGCTTGCTTTCTCCTTTCCTGCTTCACTCTCTCTGTATCTCTCGCTGATCAAATTAAAAAATAAATGAATGAATACATAAAAATAAAATCAAGTTCTTTTTAAAAAAGTAAACAGTAAAAAGATGCCAACTGATGGCATGGTGATCAAGGAGGCTGGATCTCACATGACCCACTTGAAAAACATGCTGGATGCATATGCATGAGTGTCTGAAATTCAAGTTTCAAACCCAGCTTGAAAAATGTGCCAGATGCATTGGCATGAGTACTTGAAATTCCAAAAGAAGGGAGAGATGGAAGAGAAGGTATTGCAGAGTGACCATGCCCAGGGAAGCTGTGGGGCAGAAGTTCCTTGCTTTCCCTCCCTCTCTGTTTCCAGTAAGCACACACACCCTCTAGCACCTCAGCATAGTAGAACTATACTGCTTAAGAAAAGCTGAATCAACATAGCAACCATGGTTCAAATCCCCAGCCTGGTCAGCTCAAAACATGCCAGGCACATGAGAGAATACTCAGCATGCAACGGACTGAAGGACTGAGGAAGAGGATCATAGTATGACCAGACATTGTAGAGTAAGCTCAGCTCTCTCTCTCTCTCTTGCATGCATATATGCTCTATCATGAACAAAACAAAACAAATTAAAAACTCTACAACTTCAAAAAATGCCATAAATCACATTTATGATATGCACTCTTGATATGTTATGATGAAAACAACACTGGACTCTGTGATGGTCACCCCAGGAACCCACAACACATCATGAGAAACACATTGGATAATTTCCAACAAAGGGGCCCCTGAAAAATATCTAACACTGCTTAGAACTATCAAGGTCATCAAAAATATGGACACTGGGAACCAGCAGTTAGCGTAATGGCTATGTCGCTGGACTCCCACGTAGTCGACCGTGGTTCGCGTCCTGGACCCGGTGACTTAAAACTCACGCCAGGCGCGTGTGCGTGCGCGCCCAAGATCCCGAGAGGAGAATGGAGGAGAAGGGATTGCGGCGTGACCATGCCCCCTGGGGGGTGATTTCTCGCTTTCTGTCTCTAATGTCTCTCTCTGTCTGTCTGGCGAGCGCACGCGCCCTATAGTGAAAAATCTCTCCAAAAAAAAAAAAAAATACGGACACTGTTATGATTGGTCTAAGGGGACAGGACAACTCATGTAATGAGGTAACCTGCAGAGGATCCTAGAGCTAAAAGACATATCAAATAAAAGTAAAGAAAGCTCTAGGTAGGGACCAGCAGTTGGCGTAATGGCTATGTCACTGGACTCCCATGTAGTCGACTGTGGTTCAAGTCCCGGACCCGGTGGCTTTAACTCATGCCAGGCGCGTGTGCGTGTGTGCCCAAGATCCAGAGAGGAGAATGAAGGAGAAGGGATTGTGGCATGGCCATTCCCCCTGGGGGATGATTTCTCGCTTTCTGTCTCTCTGTCTCTGTCTGTCTGGTGAGCGCACGCGCCCTATAGCAAAAAAAAAAGAAGAAGAAGAAGAAAAAAGAAAGCTCTAGGGGGCTCCATGGCCTGGTAGTTAAAGATCCTACCCAGGGACCAGCAGTTAGCATAATGGCTATGTCGCTGGACTCCCACATAGTCGACCACGGTTCGAGTCCCGGACCCAGTGGCTTAAAACTCACACGCCAGGCACGTGTGGGTGCATGCCCAAGATCCTGAGAGGAGAATGGAAGAGAAGGGATTGCAGTGTGGCCATCCCCCCTGAGGGGTGATTTCTCGCTTTCTGTCTCTCCGTCTCTCTCTGTCTGTCTGGCAAGCGCACGTGCCCTATCACAAAAAAAAAACTCTAAAAAAAACAGCCCACCCAACTGCCCAGTGTGTGAATGCCCAGGTCCTGAAAGGAGAGCGAAGTGGGTGTGACCATTCTCCAGGAGGGGTGCTTCTTCGCCTCCCTTGTCCTCTGACTAGTGCATGCCAAAAGTGAGGTAATTTTAAGAAATCCATTAAGTATGGGCTTTAGTTAATAATAAAAGAGATTCATTAGTTGTAACAAATGTAGCTTACAAATGTAAAATTTTAATGAAACTGCCTGGGTTGATATACTAGCTGCTCAACATTTATGTAAATCCGAAAATGTCATAATAATAAAGCCTATTACTATAAAACTTATTATTTTTCTTTATTCATTATTATTGTATTACTTATTTATTATATTAAAAACCAAACAGGGACCAGCAGTTGGCATAATGGCTGTGGCGCTGGACTCCCACTGAGTTGACCAGGTTGGAGTCCTAGACCCCGTGGCTTAAACCCACAGCGGGCGCGTGAGCGTGCGTGCCCAAGATCCAGAGAGGAGAGTGGAGGAGAAGGGATTGCGTCGTGGCCATCCACCCTGGGGGGTGATTTCTCGCTTTCTGTCTCTCTTTCCGGCGCGCATTCGCTCCCTATAGCAAAAAACCTCCAAAAACCATCCAAACAAACAAAAGCACGTGGCGCACAGTGCCTCCTCCCACCGACCTATCCTGACTGTCAAGCTCTGCCCCTAACAAAGATGGCGCCCACCGTCTTCACCAGGAGGCCTGTCCCCAAAAAAGATGGCGTCCACGGCGCGGAGGAAGCGGAAGCGCCGGCTGCTGCGGCGCGGGTCCGAGGTCAGCGCGAGAACGCGCAGGGCGGCGCGGGTCGGGGCCTGAAGCTGGGCCGGGCCGCGCTGGGCCTGCTGCTGCTGGCG